TTACATTGGATTGTTTTGATTTAAATCGGATTTTTAAATTTTTTTTATCTAATTTACTTTAATAAAATGCTTTTGGAGTAAAAAAAATCTATCTAAATAGTTTTCTATTTAAGATACATTAATAATTTAGTTTTTTCAGCATGAAATGGAGTTTAGTTATGTAGCTTGAGGCGATATATTCTGCAACATTGGCACTGTTGGTGAGTCAACAGCAGGTCAGAGGAGCAGTCTCTGAGGGTCAGAGATGACAGTTGCTCTTTAAAAATTATGATTTAAATCGAGTCAATTTAAATCAAGCCTTTTTACTAGTGATTTAAATCGACTTGATTTAAATCAAATCCACCCTGGCGGTTACTAATAACCACAACCAAACAGATCATATAGAACCACCAAAAGCACTTCCAGGAATGCAGTTGCCTCGAAAAATATGGAGCCACCTGAATAGAATCAGGACAGGCCATGCCAGAACTAGGCAAAGTTTTTTTAAGGGAGGAATGACCAAGAACCTTCACTGTGACTGTGGTTGCACACCAGAACAAACTACAACACATATTGCTCAAAAAGTCTCCTCAGGAAATTTTAGGGCACCTGAGATGAACTCACTGCAGCCACACCAAAAGAAGTTAGATGGTTAGCTCCCTTAGATATTGAATTACAATATTCTATACAGTATTGTCCATATATCTCATGTGTGTGCATGTATGTTTGCTGATGCTTTATTTAAACTAAATTTGTATATCTGTGATTGCATGATCTATTTATTTAGATAAATAAATAACAGATAACAAATAATCAGAGTTGGAAGGGACCTTCTAGGTCATCTAGTCCAACCCCCCACCCAAGTGGGAGACCCTACACCATTTCTGACAAATGGCAGTCCAATCTCTTCTTGAAGGTCTCAAGTGATGGAGCTCCCACAACTTCTGAGGGCAAGCTGTTCCATTGGTTGATTGCTCTCACTGTCAGAGAATTTCTCCTTATTTCCAAGTTAAATTTATCCTTGTTCAGTTTCCATCCATTATTTCTTGTCTGGCCTACAGGTGCTTTAGAAAATAGCTTGATCCCCTCCTCTCTGTGGTAGCCCCTCAAATATTGGAAGACTGCTCTCATGTCTCCCCTGGTCCTTCTCTTCACTAGACTAGCCATGCCCAGTTCCTGTAACCGTTCTTCATATGTTTCCTAAATAAAATAAAACCATGCCCTGGCACACATTGTCACAAAGGTGCTTTTTTCAAAAGGCAACTGGACTTTGTTTTTCCTTGAAGATGTTTCGCTTCTCATCCAAGAAGCCTCTTCAGTTCTGAATTGAAGAACTGAAAAAATTTCTTGGATGAGAAGTAAAACATCTTCAAAGGAAAAATTAAGTCCAGCATGCCTTTTATTTAAAAAAAAAATAAAAGCACTTTTAGGACAATCTTGACCTGGATGACTGAGATTCTCCATACACATTGAGCACACATTGTCTTTTTCTACAGAGGGCACAGATATGGTCACTAGCATGTTTAGCTTGCTCTCTGGATATTTCAATGGGAATGAATGATTTCCTCCTAAATTATCTGGAAAATAAAGAAACAGACCTTGTTCACATTTCAGACTACATCATAATGTGATTTGATTGGTTTTAGCTTGCTGTAGAGGGCAAATTGCCAACAAGGCTTCTAAGCCATGCATTAAGTTTTCGCACATTGTATAATCCAAACCAATTGTGATTCATCCAGTTCACAGTGATCAAGCAAATCATGGTTCGGCAGCACAATGCGTGAACTCGGGGAAAACCTCAGATTGAAGAAACTGAATAATAGGAACAGCAATAACAATTGCAGCTACAATTCTTTGATTCCTTGATATAGCTATTCCGGTTTGCTGTGCGGAAAATGCCATCAACCTGGTATACAGTCAGACTCAACTGGGCAGGTAGGAAGTCGGCCCTGCTTGTATTAAAGCTCTGCTGAAAAAGTGGTAAGGAAGGATATCTGCTATTTACCCATCCTTCATAATAAATTAAGATCCTTGCAGGAATGCATCTCCTCAAACCCTTTCTTTACCTCAGGTTTTACCCCCAAGCATAAAAAGTCATTAATTCTTCAGCTATTGCTGTATCAGGGGAATCATTTTCAGAAAGAGGGAGGGAGGGAATGGAAGGGAAGGGAAGGGAAGGGAAGGGAGGGAGGGAGGGAGGGAGGAAGGAAGGAAGGAAGGAAGGAAGGAAGGAAGGAAGGAAGGAAGGAAG